ACTGGATCATAGGGCTCTGCAGCATGGCCAAAGCTCTCACCGCAAAGTGTATCACCTGCAGGAAACTTCGCAAGAAACCGCTAGACCAGCTAATGGGGCAGATACCGACTTTACGAGTGGCAGCTGGTTTTCCTCCCTTTTCCAACACCGCCATTGACATGTTTGGACCCATGCATATTAAGCTCAATCGGAAGACTCTGAAAGAAGCCCAGGTCGTAATATTCGCCTGCATGACAACAAGGGCAGTTCACTTAGAACTTGCTAGCGACAAAACATCTGATACTTTCCTGATGGCGTTCCGTCGTTTCGCGAGCTTCCGTGGTCACCCGAACGTTTGTTGGTCCGACTGTGGTACAAACTTTGTTGGTACACAAGCTTACTTCAAGGAAGTTATGCGGAACTGGAACCTTCCGAAGATTCAAAGTGTTCTGTCAGAGGATTTCTGTTGTGAATTCAAATGGCTATGGAATATACCTCACGCAAGCCATCAAAATGGTGTCGTGGAAACCCTCATCAAATCTGTCAGACAAAGTCTCGCTGCTACCTGCAAAAGTCAATCCTTTGCCGAAGAGCAATGGAGAACATTTCTGTCAGAGACAACCTACATCATCAATGGACGTCCTTTGTATCCAAGTTCTAACGACATCTGGGAAGGTCCACCTATCACACCAAATGATATTCTCATAGGTCATCATCTTCCACCACCTCAACCAGAGTCTGAAGAAAGGGTAAACCCTAGACATCTTCTAAGAAGTACCCAAAACCGGGTGAACGAATTCTGGAAATGCTGGATGAGGTACTTCACACCAAATCTGTTACCACGAAACAAGTGGTTCCGTACCAGAGAAAATGTTAAAGTAGATGATTTAGTTTTGGAGTTGGACCCCAATCAGAAAAGATCACGATGGAAGCTGGCTCGTGTCGTCACCACGTATCCGAGAAACAATGGTCTGGTCAGAAAGGCGAGAATCAAGACCCAGATTGGTGAATATGACAGACCAATCCACAAGTTGTGTCTCATAGCAACCAAGGAGGAACTAAATACTTAATTAAGCCTAGTTAGAGAACCAACGAACACTAACGCTATTTTCTCATGCTGTTCATTATCGAACGCTATCATGTCGTAGTCGTTGCTCAATTTGAACTAATTAATTAAACCCAATTTCCGCACCGGGGCGGAGTGATTTGCATGTTCATTGGAGAACGTAGTAAAGAATTAGAATTAATTATCGTAATTGCGAATTCCTTTCGACTGCGCGCGGCGGGAGAATTAGGTCATGTGACTTATAATTTGAAAGGAACAATTTATGCTGTAACAACATTCGAGGCTAGTCATCAACGGTCGTAAACGCAAGCATCAAGATAAAGCGTCGAGATAGCGAAGCAAGGGTTCCAACTACTTAGAAACACAAATTGTAAGTTATGAAACCGTTTATCATTTCGACTAAGAATATTGTAGATAATAATGCATCCCGAAACTATTTAATTTTCAGTTGACTACGACGTAACCACGGATGTAACGAGCCGTGTCTCACTGTATTACAAATAAAACCTGACAACGTTGATCCCTGGTGGGCTAATCTTCAGAATAAGTAGCTCCTTCAACCATAGAAGCGAATCACACATAGTAACTGAGGAATCTAAGTTTGTAAAGTTTGACTCAGACTTTATAGCAAAGGATCATGTTGTTGAGCTCGCCGATGGGAGTAAGGCTAATGTAGTTTTGGGGAGGGGAGAAGCTAAGGTTAAGTTATATGACATTAACGGTAATTTGCATGATGTTATCCTTAACAACGCTCTGTATATCCCGTCCTACACTCAGAATATTTTTTCTGTTTCCGCGGCGGTAGAAAGAGGGGCGAGCATAAATCTNGATTGCTGACATCACCTTTCCTCGTCGCCTATTTGTAGAGACACGATCACACTGCTTCAATAACAGAATTCTCTACTTTTTGATTTCCGATTGATTTCCCCCCGATCACATAGCTAAAGGGCTCGCTCTCGTCTCATTGGCCCAGCGCTAATGTGATCAAAGGATTATATTCGATGTCAAAGGAAAACAAACGCGCGTGTCCTGTCTTAGCCACAAGTATCTAAAATTAAGCATTTGTCAACGGCGTACAAAACACTCGGCCCCAGTGCGGAAATTAGGAAACTAATTGAGTACCGATCAAAAAATAGCACGAAGTTTGACTCAATCTTAACTTCTAATCAGTTCAGTGTCTTAATTATGTTAATGTTCCTCTCCACTAAGTTCTTCCCTCGTCGCGATGAGGCATAACTTGTGAATTGGGCGGTCATACTCGCCGTTCTGGGTTCTAACACGGACTTTCCTGATAAATCCATCCCTGCCCGGGTAAGTATCGACGTTTAGTGCCATCTCCCACTGGGATCGCTTCGGTTTGGATTGAGTTCGAGGACCAAATCGCCGATTTTGACATTTTCTCGCCCCTTAAACCCCTTATTCGCGTTAGTAGCGCTGGAGCAAAGTACTTCATCCAGCAAGTCCAGAATTGGCCAATTTTGATTAGGTCACTTCGCAGTAAATGCCGTGGATTAATTCTTGCCTCTTGCTCGGGCTGAGGTGGAGGATTGTGTTGTCCGATCAGGATGTCATTCGGTGTAATGGGCAGTTCTTCCCACACGTCTTCAGAGCTTGGGTAAAGCGGCCTGCTGTTAACCATGCAGGTGGTTTCTGCTAGGAAAGTCCTCCACTGTTCTTCAGTAAACGCGTGGTTCTTGCATACACTGTTAAGGGCCTGTCTGACGGACTTGATTAATGACTCAAGAACCCCATTCTGGTGGCTTGCATGTGGGGTGTTCCACTGCCACTCGAAATTGCAGGTGAATTCCTCCTAAAGTGTGCTTTGTATCTTGGGTATGTCCCAGTTGTGCATCACTTCTCTCAAGTATTCTTGTGCTCCTATAAAGTTTGTGCCACAGTCAGACCAGCAGATGTTTGGATGGCCGCGCAGACACGCGAATCGACGAAATGCCATTAGGAAGGCTTCCGAGGTCTTGTTAGTTATGAGCTCTAAGTAAACTGTTCTGGTTGTTGTGCAGGTAAAGATCACAACTTGGGCTTCTTGAAGGATTCTCCGGTTCAGTCGTATCCATAAGGGCCCAAACGTATCCATAGCGGTGTTGGAAAATGGGGGAAATCCAGCTGCCACTCGCAAGTTTGGCAGTTGGCCCATTAACTAATCGAGGGGCTTTTTGCGTAGTTTCTGGCAGACAACACACTTGTTTACTACAGCTTTGGCCATTTTCCTGAGCCCGATAATCCAAAACGTCCGTCTTGTTTCGTGCATGAGGCTCTTGTAGCCACAGTGTCCTCGTTTCCGGTGTAGGGGATGTAAGAGCAGGTTAGCTATTGGAAGGTCCCTTGGCAGCACGACTGGGTCCCTCATGTCTTTCGGCAGTATCCTGGCATTTTCAAGGCGGCCATGAGCTCTGATCAAGCCTTCGTCATCTGCTTTGGCGATCAACTTCTCATCGAGTCGTTGCAAGTCTATGTGGAGTTGACTCCATTTCAAAAGTTGTAGTTCTGAACGCTTGAGTTCCTGGACTGTCAGAGAGCCTTGGGGCACAGCTCTGTGTCTCATAATTTTAACGAAACGATGTAGGTAGGCAAGGACTCTGCGGATCTTTGTGAAGGTCGAGCATCGCAGCAATAGGCAGCAGAAGATATTGTTGTCTGCTTTTCCTTCGGGAATGTAGACCGCATGAGTTTCTCCAGTAATTTTGTGTCTTTTGCCAACTTGTTGGTGCTTCGTTACAGTCTTCATCTCTTTCAAGGTGTGTTGTCGTTCTTGGCGGGAAATTTGGTCGTCATCTTGAAATTGAGGCCATTCGGTCTCTGGCAATCTGAGAAACGATGGTCCTAACATCCAGCCTTTGAGGTCACTGGGTGCAATTACTCTGGTGAGAGCATCTGCTGGGTTATATTTGGACTTGATATAGCGGAAATGTTCGGATCCTACTGTCTCCTGTATTTCTGAAATTCCCACTGATACAAAGGGTCTGAATTCTCGAGGTGGGGTTCTGATCCACGTTAGGACAGTTCGAGAGTCTATCCAGAGGGTCTTGTCGTATTCTTTAAATTTGACACTTGTTGACCTCTTGACACTTGTTGTAAAGCCTTGTAAGTACTAGGCATCCCAAGAGTTCCAGTCGAGGGATAGTTCTCTGTTTCAGCGGGGTAACAAAGGGCTTGACAATTACGGGGACACATTGGTGACTTCCATCACGAGGCTCCCAGCGGAGGAAAATGACTGCTCCATATCCGAGCTCTCCTCCGTCAGCAAAGCCGTGTACTTGAGGTGAGCCGATTGCTTCTGTTGGTTTGAGTTTACGGTCACATTTGAAGGTTAGAAGTCGATTTATTGCTTCTTCATTCCCATTTCATTTATGGTTGTGTTGCTTCTGGGATGATGTCGTCCCAACCATATCCAGCACTCCATAGTTCTTGCAGGTCATTTCGAAACTTAAGCGTTGTGGCTGCCACGAGACCGATGGGGTCCCACACCTGGGCTAAAAGGGCGAAGCAGGATCTCTTTGTGAAATCTTCATTCAATTTTACAACTGAATCTTTCTTTAAAGCAAACGTGTCTTCCCGTTTGTCCCACTTATGGCCAAGCAAATCTGTATAACGTTCACCACTGGCTTGATCAACGTACTGGCTATTTGAATGCCACGCTTTGATCTGGAACTGAACTTTTGCGAGCACCTCGTCAATTGCAGTTGTGACTTGCTTGGCCTCCGCAGTGGTTGGCCAGGATCCAGCAATGTCGTCAACGTATGTTCGTTCTTGAAGTTCCTTTGCTGCTTCAGGGAAATCATCATGTGAAGTCTTGGCCAGGATGTTTATTGCATTCGAAGCAATGTCAGGGGCTGGCTTGTTGCCGAAATTTAGTCTGAGCCACTGGTATACGGTGGGAAGATCATGCTGATTCTTTCTCCACAGGAACCTATGGAAGACCTGGTCATCTGGGTGTACCGATACTTGGTTGAAAATCTTCCGAATATCTCCAGCGTACGCAACTTCATCCCATCGCCATGCTATTAGAGCGTTGGGTAGACTTTTGATATAATTCGGCCCCTTCTCAAGATGATCATTGAGGGAGAGACCATGGTATCCTTTGCAAGAAGAATCAAACACAAGCCTGACTTGTGTGCTTTTTCTGGAGTGAACAGTGCTTGGAGGGGAAGGTACCACTCTGGCTAATCGTGATCAACGTTGTCACTTGCTACCTTGATCACAAAGCCTTGATCCACAAGTTTCTGAACCTCTTGATCCACGATTTCAAAGCAGTCTTTCTTCTTAAACGACTTCTCCACGGAATACATTCTCCTTACAGCAATGCCATAGTTACTTTGTTTCGGAAGTCCAGATTCTTTCCATGGCATTTTTCCTTGCACCCTGCCGTTCTCCAATGTAGTCGAGGCTGAGAGGGCTCTCACGAACCTGTTCTCACGCAAAGCATTTTCACTGCAGGTGCACATTTCCGTCGGCTTAACTCCTAAGAGGTCTTCATGAACGAGCTTCTTGATGTCTGAATTTACTTTGCCTAAGAAGTACCAGCCAAAACAGTTCCTTTTTGCAACCGGTTCTCCAGGATCGCCGCTGGCTGCGTGAATGTCCACAAAGGCGTCGACAAAGTCAGTACCAATGAGCACATCCACGGTACCACCTGAGAGATGTAGCTTATCCGCTATTGGCTTGAGATGGGGATAGCTTTCAACAGCCTTCCGTGACACAGTCTTGGCGTTGCTGCAGGGCTTTCGGACCGTGTATACTTGAAGTGGCTTCAAGATGTCTTCCTCAGTCGATGATCCGAGTTTAATCTCAATTATCTCCGAAATTTGTGCTTTCTTTCTTCCTCCTACCAGGCTCATCGTAAGGTGTGTCTGCGGACCAGATATCCCCAGTTGTCTTGCAGCTCTTTTAGACAGATGACTTGTGTTCGAGCCAGTGTCCAACATGGCAAGTAAGTCGCTGAAGGTTCCGTCGCTGCCTCTGACTTTGACCTTTTTGTACTGGGCAAACTCCAGGAACGTCTCTGACATCTTTAATCTCTTCATTGTCTCTTCCTTGGATGTTGCGATTCTCCTCCACTTCAGGAGGAGTACTTTGGCTAATAAAGGGTGGTGTATTGGGGCTCAGGTTGGACTGCAGGGAATCGTTTTTCTTCTCATCGTGTAGGGAACGGTGATGATTCTTCTTGCATTTGTCGCAAGACGTACCGTCAGCCCTTTTAGAGTCATTTGTATGATGTGAAACCCTCAGGCACTTCCGGCATCTTCTACTTTCTCTCACGATCTCCCATCTTTGGTTAATACACAGTGCAGGAGGCGAGAAGATGTTTCGCTTGGCAACCAAGGGGACACGAATCGTCATCAGTCCTGCTGGTATTATTGAAATGTTGTTCCGATCTCCTGCGGTAAGGATGCTCTCGACCTCCTCGCTCCCTATGTCCGCTCTCAGCTTCTATTTCCTTCTCCCCTCTGGATCTGAGGGCTGCCTCCTCGTGGAGCCAAGTGACCAAGTTGGCGACATTTTCCTCTTTTTTTCGCGTTGCATTTCTCGACCAAAGTCGGCATTATCCTTCGCCTGAAGTTTCGACAAGAGTCTTGACATGAAGAATGACGCTTCTGAGGTTTCTTGGACTGGACATCCGTTGTCCTACATATCTTGTGCGAACACGGATATAGAAGTGGCGTAGCGGGCCAGGCTCCTCGAATCGCTTTTTACAGCGCCATAATTGTTGATCTCAGAGAGGAGTTCATCCATCGATTTCCTTCTGTCCGCGAATTCGATGTCAAGTATCTCCCACGCCCTATCTATGTTCTTGCACGTCTTCAATTGGTCTGTCAACCAGGATCCTTTAGGCAATGCTTTGCAGATGCGCTGAAGTTGCTCCTCCTCATCTTGGTTGTATTTACTCATCCAGTGGCTGAATTCTTTCTTCTAGGTCACATAGGTTTTTCGCGAACCATCCCCTGACGGAACGGACAGTCGTTCTAAACCACCCACGTGTGGTTTTGCACCCATACTTTCCGCCATTTGTTTCACTGCTTTTGCGACGCAGGCACTGCGGTGCTCTCAGAGGGATTTTGTAATTAAGGGGGCGCATTAAAGTCCTTCTGATAATGAGCGAATTTTTGCAGTTTGTAAAAATCGTACTCTGATTTCTTCACCAAGCTTCAACACCAAAATAGCGCTAACTCGCCGAAAACGCTTCAAAATGGTCTGAGATGCTGGTAATCAACAAAGAAAACAACAAGGCAATAAGGTAAGTCCATTTTATTTCAAAAGAAGACTTTTGTGAGTAATTTCTTTTGGCCTTGAGCAATTTCTTTTTGCCGTGAGTAATTTCTTTCTTCCGCGAGCAATTTCTTTTCGCCATGAGCGATTTCTTTTCGCCGTGACAGTTGTGGGCCACCGTACTTTTCCAGTAAACAACGTAAATTTTATGACATAATTCTACCGCACCGAAAAATATTTTATAAGGAACGTAATGGTACAGTCGATCAGTTTTCCACGTAACTCTCACGTGCTTAGACGTTTTCTACCAATACAATTCGCTTTTAGCTACTTGGGACTTTACCCCACTGCGTGTCAACTCCCTGTAAACACCCTGCATTTTATCACGTATTTCGCACGCACAGGGCAAAGTCCAGATAGGCAACCACCAATTGAGAAGCCCACGTTGTTATGCTTTGATAAATGATACTTTTTTCTTCGTTCACTCCATTTTCACTTGTTCGAAGAACGGGTTGAGTCCTGGTGTACCGGTTAACGAATACATGTCCTGGTGTGCCGGTTAACCAAAATATGTGCTGTAAATGGCTTGAACCCGGAGGTAACATGTGAAAGTGTAGTCTGATCGTCCGGGTGAGTGTAGTACTAAGAAGGACTGTTGTCGGTGGTAGTGACTGACGTTTCGACAACCTGTGCGGAAGTCATCATCAGAGTCAAGCGAATGATTGTTGTCAGTAGAATGTTCTTATTCCAGATCGTGTGAAATGATTGGTTGGTTTTGCCGTGATGTAAGACTGCTGTAAGACTCAAGTGACGTAAGTCGGTCGTGATTGGTCTGTTTCGATCTGTCGGTAAAGTTAGGCCGTTCTTTTTCGGTCGTTTGTGATGTTTATGTCGTGAATGAGTCGTTTGTATGGAGCGGGTAAGTGTTGACATCTGTTTAGGGGAGTCTGTTCTAAGTTAGTAAACCAGCTTTCCAGAGTCAGTCGTTGAAAATAGTCAGTGCTGTAGGTTAGGCATTGCGCAGAGTCCCAGTCAATGTTGTGGTTGGTAAGTCGATGGTGTTCAGCAATGTGATTGCTGACATCACCTTTCCTCGTCGCCCGTCTGTGTTCAGTCAGTCTTGTTGTGAGGTTTCTGCCAGTCTCACCGATGTAGGAGGCTTGGCAGTCGGAACAATTGATCTTATAAATCGTTCCCTGTCTGTTCCTCGGTTCGTCTTTGTCTTTAACGTTGGTTAGTAACTGACGTAGTGTGGTGATGGGTTTGTGGGCGACGCGGATATTGAAGGGTAGTAAGATGCGCGAGATGTTTTCAGACATGCCTTTTATGTACGGTATGGTTGCTGTAGTCGTAGGGGTTGCGGTGTCGTTTGTTTCGGTAGTGGTAGTGGGTCGGTGAGTGTTTCGTCGGATGAAGTCGTTGTTGTAGTTGTTCTTCGTAAAAACACGGTGAAGGTATTTGTTCTCGTCGGATAAGCTGTCTGTCGAGTCACATACTAGTTGTGCGCGTCGTGTTAGAGTTCTGATAGTTGTGGCTTTGTGTGATGTAGGGTTGTAGGATGACTCGTCTAGTAATCTGTCGGTGTGTGTCGGTTTCCTGTAAACTGTCGTTCGTAATGAGTTGTCGTTGTGGCTTACCAGGCAGTCTAGAAAAGGAAGTTTGCCATTTTCTTCGACTTCTCTGGTAAACTGTATGTCAGTGTTTTGTTCGTTAAGGTNTAGAATTTTAGTAATTTAATCATGTCGAGTGTTGGAAACATTTGCTGAGTGCTCTTCCATTATAGCGTAGTTTTACTGGGTGTTACGAAAACTAAGGAGCCCGAAAACGAAGACCTAAGACCCAAGACCTGTCTTAGTTTTCGAGATTACGAGAACTAAGACCCCTAAAATCAAATCCGTCGAAATATACAGTCAAATTGTAACCAAAATAGGTCTAGTCTGTCAAACTATCTCCTGTGTGATCCTTTCCACGGAGATTTAGGTCAAATTTAATGGTAAATTTAGGGGTCTTAGTTTTCGTAATCTCGAAAACTTAAAACCCCCTTCTAATATTGTTGTGTATTGGGTTCGAGGTACTACTATAGAGCATGAAGTGAATTCGGCCAAGTGCTTTACACAACTACTTTATTACAACTCAATCAACTATCTATATACAATGATATCACACTATAATCACGTGACTGCGGTTCAGGGTGTGCTAACCAATGACTACCGGTTAGTTAAGGTAGCTCATAATAGGAATAAACACTACATTCCCCCACACTTATTCTAAAACTACATCAGTTAATCACTTTAATTATTCTGATAAGTAAGAATCAAAACCTAGGCGCTGAGGAGCTTTGCGCTGTCGCGTTGGACAGCGCGGTGGAGCTTCAGTTTGCGCGGTTTCAGTTGCCGGCGCGGTTGCGTCTTTGCCGAGTTCGCCATTTGGCTCTTTCGAATCGGTCTCTGCGGCTTCCGATCGCGGAGTTGCAGCCGGTGGGATGTCAACGACTTCTTTGTCAATCACCATACTTGGAGAAGTTACGCCAACATCTGCGTTGCGCTTCGGATGGACGCTCTGAGATGCCCCTTTCTGATGCATTTGGTCGACATGACGCCTCCAGAGTTGATCTCCGACTTGAACTTTATACGAGACGGGACAAGTTTGCTCTGTAATGGTGCCATCGAGCCATTTGGGTTCTCCTCGGAAGTTCTGCACCGGCACTTGTTCTCCCAATGCGAACTCTCATTCCTTGCTACTATTGTCATGTCTGGTTTTCTGATCGCTTTGCCTTTCAAAAACTTTTCGACCGAGATCAGGGAGTAATAAATCTAACCTCGTTCTAAGTCGACGGTTCAGAAATAGTTCGGCTGGCGTTTGACCTGTTGTACTTAAGTCGATGAGTAATTGAAGAGCGCGGCTGACAAGGCCTGGATTTTCAGTATTTATTCAAGAATGTAATCTGAAGCTGTAGAGATTGCGAAATCACAAACATTACCGAGAGATCCTTTCATTGAAATGACAAATCTAGCAATAAAACTTACGTTCGTCCAGCCTTCTTAAAACATAGAGTTATAAACTCGCCAACGTCAAATATCCTTAGGCAAATCCCTTGATCCTTAGACAAATCTCTTTTAAATCATACATAAAACATTTTACACTTTTGCTTAGCGCGACACGTGGCAAAACAAAACTATTACATAACGACGAGACGGTTCATGAGGCCTTGCGGCCTTGAGACTAATTTCGAGTCCAGTCCGTGCGGTTGAGGTAACGCAACATTCTCCCCCCCCCCCCGCAATTAGGAAAGCCTTCCGCAGGATAAATCACGAAAATCTTGGTGATGGGACGCGTGTATGTTCCTGATGCAGTCTTGACTTGGACGTTTCGTACTAAGCCATCTTCTCCTGGATACACTTGGAGAATTTTGCCGGCGCTCCACCTTCCACGAACTGGGTTGGAATCTGCCATAATAACGAGGTCGTTAACTGCTACGTTTCTCCTTTCGGCTTTCCATTTCTTTCTTGGTACAAGATTCGGCAAGACATCTCGGGACCATTTCTTACACGATCTTCTGGCAGAATTCAAACCGATGGCGGGGATTTTCCGTATGAAGGAATGGGCCCTGAGGAACGGTATTGGTTGCTCTTCCTAACAGGATGTCGCTTGGGCAGAGATACGCACCATCATCAGGATCATTTGGTATTTTGCCACTGGGTCTCTGATTGACCAAATTTGCTACTTCGAGGAGACAGCTGTAGAGCTCAAATGGGGTAAGCACAGCTTCTCCAATGGCTTTCTTGAGTGCTCTCTTTACGGTCTTCACCATAGCCTCTGAACATCCGTTCTGGTGTGGGGCATCGGGTGTGGTGAATTGCCACTTCATACCTCGGTCGGCACAGAATTCTTTGAGCTTGTTGTTATCCCATCCTTCTATCATAAGGCGCAATTCATGTTCCGCTCCCACCATTTGTGAACCATTATCGGAGATTAGAACTTTCGGGTAACCACGATACGAGAAGAACCTTCTCAGAACCTGCAGGAATTCCATGGTGGTCAGATCGGTAGCATGTTCGCAGTGAACTGCTCTCGTGTTGAGGCATGTGAATATTACTCCATAGTGCTTTGCCATTTTGCTTCTACCAACCCTAGCTTTAATGGGTCCGAAGTAGTCACATGACGCGTACAGGAAAGGAAGGGTGTACGGTTGTAGGCGGCAACTGGGTAAATTTGCCATTAGCTGGGTCTCCACCTTTGCTTACATCTCTCTGCAGAAGGTACATCGGCCCTTAATAAGATTGGCAAGATTGCTTCCTTTGATTATCCAGTACCTTCTTCTGGTTTTTGCCGTTGTTACAGCTACACCTGGGTGACCTACTCTGTGTGCACTGGACTTTTTCCATCATAGGATAATAGCTTAGAATCGACGCGACCTCCAACTCTTATGATGCCTTTGTCGTCAGTGAATGGACTAAGTGTTTTGGAGTCTCCCTTCTCTATTCTACCTGAAAGGCCAGTCTGTGCTTCCTTAGCCCAGTATTCTTCGGCGTCCTGAATCTCTTCTGTACCAAGTGGACCAACTTGCACTTGACTGTTATCATTTTGCTGGCTTGACTTAAGGCGGAGGTTGCGGCAGAATCGAACAACGTAAGCTGTCACTCTGAGCAGTCGTCTCCATGTTGGTAGGTTGGTAGACAGCAGCGGTGCATGTGATTTGGACCTTTCTTCGCTCTCTGTTTACTTCTGTCATATCGGGTACACATTGCTGCAAGGGCCAATGATCCTCTAGAAGCTGTAGAAAGTTTGGACCGTTGAACCCTCTTCCATTTATTTCGGTGGCTGCAATTCCCTTGGTTAAGAGTCTGTCCACGAGAGGACCAGGCAGGCGTGACACATGCCATCTCACCGATTTCTCTCAAACTTTTACAGATGATTAAGATCATAAAGTTATTCAAGAGTCCAAAGTAGTCTGGGCTCCCGGTTAATCCCTGGGGTACAAGGGCTTTCACATCAAATCCCAGGGATAAAACCCCTAAATTAGCCCTAAAATTGCACTTCCCAAAAAGATCTCCCACACTGATAGAATGCGGTAGATTTTAATCTCATTTCATCCAACAATTTTTTGAACCTAAAGCAATCGAAGGTTCAAAGTTGGATTGATTTGAAATCATTCTCGCCAATCGAGAGTATTTCATAATCAACCATGTCACGCGACAACTTTAAGAGACCGAAAATTAGGCTTTTTTAATTGCATATATCTCCAATGGGCAACGTTACATGTCGATCAACATGCAATCACTGTAAAACCCAATCATAGTGCTATGTTTCTGACGAAAAAAATTTTTGGCCTC